GTTACTGCTCTCCAGATGACATATCAAACCAAAATTCTGACTGTCTCTTCAAGTGGACATAAAGGGAACTGTGTACCATGTAAAGATGAACAGGAAGCTCACTCAGTGTTGTGGCCAAAATTCTTCCTCAGCCCTTATCAAAAGATGTGGTTTAATTGAACACACGTACAAAATGTATATTGCGTTCACTTACAAGAAGGAAAAGGAGCTGTGCGTCAATAAAATGATGGAATGTATCTGAATGCATGGAATGCGAATTTGTGTCAAACCTAAGTTTAAATCTGTGAAAACTACATAATTAAAGGACGAGTAATGCTTAGTAAACTCTGCAAGGGTGGTAGAACTTCCACCAGGTTTTCATAATCTCTTCTGACATAACGTCAATGGTTGTCCATTAGAATTGACATATTCTCTGCTGTTTCTCTACCATTTCTGTTAAGGTTCTGCTGATGTTTGGTAGCAGGATTAGGGCCTGCAGATATTTCATCTGTGTCTCAGTTGAAGGGTTTGAGTTGTAGGGAGAGGCTGAATAAGCTTGGGCTATTTTCCCCGAGCGTTGGAGGCTGAGGGGTGACGTTATAGAGGTTTATAAAATCATGTGGGATATGGATAAGGTGAATAGCCAAGATCTTTTTTGTCCCCCACAGGATAGGGGAGTCCAAAACTAGTGGGCATAGGTTTAAGGGGAGAGGGGAAAGATTTAAAAGGACTTAAAGGGTAACCTTTTCACACAGAGGGTGGTGCATGTATGGAATGAGCTGCCAGAGAAATTGGCGGAGGCTGGTACAATTACAACATTTAAAAGGCATCTGGATGGTTAAATGAATAGAAGGGGTTTAGAGAGATATGGGCTCAATGATAGCAAATGGGATTTGTTCTGAGGAAGGGTCACCGGACCCGAAACGTTAACTCTGTTTTTTCCTTCACAGATGCTGCCAGACCTGCTGAACTTTTCCAGCAACTTTGTTTTTGTTGCAAATGGGACTTGATTGATTTAGGATACCTGGTTGGCATGGATGAGTTGGGCCAAAGGGTCTTTTTCCATGCTGCACATCTCTATGACTCTAAAACATAGCTGAAAGCTGTGAAGTGGGAATTGGTTAAAGCGATGAGCTTTGATGAGAGTGTTGGGTTGATAGAGGGCAATCTCTGAGTGGTCTGTGATATAGGGAGAGATTAGACACTAAAAAGAGCTCCGCTAGGCCAAATGGGCTTCACCTCACTCCCCATTGTTCTCATGCCCTTGTATGACCCACAGGAATGCGACTGATTCTGTAGCATGGAGATGGAATGTGACAGGTTATTAACCCTGTCACCACTTTGATACAGTGACACAGAGCGAAAAGGAGTTCACGGAAAACATCTCAAGCTGTACAACGAGGGAGAAAGGAACAAGCTGTGGCGACCGACATGAAAGCGAGTTCAATGCTGAACATGTTCAGATCCTGTGTAACCTTAAGCTTTTAGAATAATACTATTTTAATCTCCATGAATATTTAAATAATAAGATGGTTCTATCCAAAATCCCCAGGTCACAGCTGGGTCAGATTCATAAATAAATTAAACCTGACATCGATTTCCATTACTGTGGATGAAAGAGCTCATTTAATAATTCCTGTGAGATCTGATACAGAGCGATAACTCCTACTCTTTTCTTTAAAGAAGTTTTGCTTTAATGCATTATAGTGTCAAGTGTTAGGAAAGTAACAGCAACCCAAGCCTCCTGATTGTAAGACTGATGTCTCTTGGGTAACATCAGCTCTGCAATACTTGACCCAAGCAGTCATTCTTCACACATGCACTTCACTAGTCAGCTATTCGGCCAAAAGGGTCCTCGCAGCAAAGCTCAACGTTTTCCTTGGCTTGTTTAAAACTCAGTCTTTTGCCTGGCAGGGAGCTGACTGGAGACTGATCAGAGAATTGTGGCCCACTGTATCCCGCTTGTCAGTGCAGGGATGCAGATGCCAGACTGGGATGAGCTAAAGCAGCACAAAGCATAGATTGAAGCTGTTGCTTGGTAATAGTACTAGAGGGAACTTCAACACACTGAGCCAACACTTTCTTCATTAACTCTACAAGTACCATAATTGAGTTTATTCATTTGGCTATGTCAGGCTGAATGAGGAACGCTGTAGCCTACAGGAGCCAGTCTGGAAGGACACAGTCCCATTGAGCGATATAATCAGAGATAACAAGGTGTACCGCTGG